AATGAATATGTTCCATTTTTTTTTTTGTTTCCTTTTTTTTTTTTTTTTAATAAGAATAATTACCTCTTGCTGGAACTCTGTTAAACAGCAGAGGGGGCTGTGCCAGTTCCTGGCCCTGGGATCAGAAGAGCAGGTTGCAGTCTCAGTTCTGCTCCCAACCTGGGCCTGTCCCTGCCCTCAGTGAACCAGTTTTCCTGGTCTTTGCCTTGCCTTCCTCCCGGGCCTGGGGGATGGCTGTGCAAGCTGGCCAGCTGTGCAGTGGAGATCCTGCCCTGTGTGCTCTTGGGCTGGGGCAGCAGAGATAAAAGTTGACAAGGGGCTGCCCTTTGTCAGTGATTGTGAGCACCTACCTGGTTCCCCAGGGGTGTTGCCTGATGTGCTGACACACCGGTGACCTTGGCATGAGGGCCTCAAGGGCAAGCTAAATGCAGACAGTGGTGGTTGATAGAGTGTGTGTGTGTGTGTGTGTGTGAGAGAGAGAGAGAGAGAGAGAGAGAGAGAGAGAGAGAGAAACCTGTGGGTTTAGCATAAATAGTTCAGAAACTGACTTTCTCATGTACTGTGTTAATTTGCTAGGGGAGGTAGAAGAGGGTAAAAGGGGGATAAATGGTGATGGAAGGAGACTTGACATGGGGTGGTGAGCACAATACAATACACAGATGATGTATTATAGAATTCCCTGAGACCTATATAATTTTATTAACCAATGTCACCCCAATAAATTCCACTTAAAAAAACTTCCTAGGGCTGCCATCACAAATGGCCACAAACCTGAAGCATACACAACAAAAATGTATTCTTTCGGCTCTGGAGGCTGGAAGTCCCAAATCCAGGCAGGGCCGCACTCTCTCCGAAGTTGCTGGGGAAGAACCTGTCCGTTCCTCTTCCGCTCCTGCTGGCTTGGCTCCGGGTGCTCCTTGGCTTGTGGCAGCATAACTTACCTCTGCCTCGAGCACAATAGAATACACAGATGATGTATTATAGAATTCCCTGAGACCTATATAATTTCATTAACCAATGCCATCCCAATAAATTCCACTTAAAAAAACTTTCCTAGGGCTGCCATCACAAATGGCCATAAACCTGAAGCGTACACAACAAAAATGTATTCTTTCAGCTCTGGAGGCTGGAAGTCCCAAATCCAGGCAGGGCCGCACTCTCTCCGAAGTTGCTGGGGAAGAACCTGTCCGTTCCTCTTCCGCTCCTGCTGGCTTGGCTCCGGGTGCTCCTTGGCTTGTGGCAGCATAACTTACCTCTGCCTCCCTTTGTGTGCCTCTGAGTCCTCTCCTCTTATAAGGACTCCTGCCATGGGATTTAGGACCCACCCTAACCCACGGTGACCGCATCTTAACTAATTACATCAGCAAAGATCCTAGTTCCAAATAAGGTCACGTTCTGACATATGAATTTGACGGAGACTATTCACGCCTCTGTGTGTATGGTCCCTGTAAGGCAAATCCTTCGAGGCCGACGCTTTCCAAAATGCTTTTGTTTAACAAGTATTTCCCAAGTGCTTGGTAGAGGCAGGGTCTTACTAAGAGATGAGCCCTTTAAGGAGGAAAGTAGAGAGTCAGGCCTGGCCCTGTGCTCAAATGAGCTCCCCAACCCGGGGACAGAGAGCGCAGGGTGGGGCCCAGGGCGCAGAGGTGAAGGCGGCACTGGGTGGCTGCAACTCTCCGCTTCCTTGGCCCTTAACTCCACTTCCCAGATCATTTTCCTTTCCTGGGTGATGAAAAGCAAGATGAGGCGGGCCTTGGGGTTTGCCTCTGAAGCCAGAGAGAGCCCCGACACCCAAGCCCTTCTGACCTGCGCAGAGAAAGAGGAAGACAACGAGGAGGCGAGGAATCAGGGGCTGGAAAACCGCTGGTCCCACCAGTGTTTGCATGTGGAGGGGACCGAGGTGAGCCTGGGATTCTGGGTCCCTCTGAGCCTGGCCGCTTGGTCACTTTAGAAAACCACGGTTGATGCCCAATGCTAAGGGGCCCTGAATAAATAGGACTTTCCATTTCCCCAATTACAACGTTTTTAAAAGTTTCTGAACTCTTAATAAACTTCAATATATGTTTCGCAACGTAGATGAAAAATAGTCAAGTGTCCACTTCTGCTATTTAGTAATTTACTTATTCATATATATTTAAGTTTACATGCTACAAAAATTAACATGTAATCTGACTGAGTTAATGAAATAGAAGATGGGGGGGGAGGGTATGGCCAAGGTGAAAGGGGTTTATATAGGTGCGTGGACCAAACACCCAGGTTCCCATAAAGCAGGGGTCCTCAAACTATGGCCCGCGGGCCACATGCAAATACAAATATTGTATTTGTTCCCATTTTGTTTTTTTTATTTCAAAATAAGATATGTGCAGTGTGCATAGGAATTTGTTCATAGTTTTTTTTTTAACTATAGTCTGGCCCTCCAATGGTCTGAGGGACAGTGAACTGGCCCCCTGTTTAAAAAGTTTGAGGACCCCTGCCATAAAGGCTCTAATGCAGGGCTGGGGAACGTTTGGCCCAAAGGCCCGTGAAATCATTTGGTCTGGCCCTGCCAAGGCATTAAGGGTGAGTTAATTAAATGTTTGACCAAATATAGGAGGCTAAATTTTAAGTTGATGATTTTGTATGGCCCTCGAATGATGTTATAAATACCTAACTGACCCTTGGCAGAAAATGGGTTCCCCACCCCTGCTCTAATGGGAGGTTATTTTCCTTCCACTCTAGCAACTTGTACGAAATTATATCCCAAAACGGAGCTACAATGTGTAAAGAGCGCCTTGTGTGTCTGGTTGTTCCAAGGGGAGGAAGAAGAGACTTGGCAATCTTCTCAGCATTCCTCAACCACAGTGGTTCTCAAAGTGTGGTCCCTGGGCCAGCATTACCTGGGAACTAACTTATTAGTAATGCAAATTCTCGGCTTCCACCCGGCTCTACCCAATCCTAAGCTGAGAGTGTGTTGACCAGCCCACCGGGTGCTTCTGGTGCACACTATAACGTGAGAACCACTGCTTTACAAAAGCATTTATGTAGCACCTACTGCAGTGTTTCCCAGACTTTGCCATATTTTAGAATCACCTGCGAGGCTTTTAAACTTTCCAGGTCACATCCCGACCAATTAAACCAGAATATCTGGGAGAAGGGGTTGAGAGCTAAACATCAGTTATTTTGTTTTTTAAGATGCCCAGGTGATTCCACTGTGCAGCAAAGTTTGGGAACCACTGACATACTGTGACCTCAAAGAGATAAGATGCATTTCATAGGAAGCAAAAAGTGAGATGTGCCATAAAAGAACAGGGGGCAAAAAACACTTTAGGGGGTGGGGCTTTTTTTTTTTTTTTAAAGAAAATGGGACCTTGTTTTTAGAAAATGTCTCCCAACTTAAGAATTCCCATGTCTGTCTCCTTGTCTCTACTTGAAAGAATTCAGATTGGGTGCCTCTCACTACACTACCGCACTGCAAGCCACTCAGGACAATGACAGCCATCAGTCACTACATGGAGCTGACCATTGAGCCCGTGCAACAGGTGAGTGGCCATGGGCCACAGCCAGGGGTCCAGAGGGTGGGAAGTAGTCATGGAAGGCTTCCTGCAAGAGGCAACACTTTAGCTGCAGGATGGGCAGGATGAGGCAGGAGAGCATAAAAAAGAGGAAGGGGAAAATAAGAGAAAGAGAAAAAAAGGGGTGGGGTGGGGGACGAAAGAGGAAGGAGCTCTCCAAGGCCTAGTGTGGGGCAAATTGGGGGAATTCAGGAGATGACAGGGTGGGGATACCATCACACTACAGAAGCTGAATGTCATCCTGAGGTGATGGGAGTCTATGAGGCTTCAGGACTAGAGACTTAGGGTCAGATGTGAACCTTAGAGCCTTCGCTTAGGCCATGTTGGAGGACAGACTAGGGGAGAGGAGGCTGGAATCAAGGTGGTCAGTGAGGGACAGTTGTAAGTCCAGGAAAGGTGGTGTGGCTTGAAGCACGGCTGGAGCAGGAGAGGCAGAGATGGAGTGGAGAGAGTTGGCAGGTAGAGCGCTGGGAGGAGTGAGGATATGGGGTGAGGGAGACTGAGCACTCCAGATATCTCCCAGGGCTCTGGCCTGGATGGGCGGGTCCTCAAGGGGAAGAGGGTTAGAGAAAAGGGAGACAAGTCCACTGCATGTCCCACTACCCCACAAAGACAGTTTTTGTCCAGGTTACCGGTGACCTCCAAGTTGCTAAATCCCGGGGTCATTTCTGTCCGAACTGAGATTGGCCACTAGCTCCTTGCAGCTTCTTGGGGTCCTCACTGTCCTGGCTTTGCTGCCACCATCACAGATGTTATTTCCCTGTCACTTCTGCTGGCTCCTCCTGGCGAGCTTGACTTTACGGCTGCAGACCCTTCTCTCTCTCCATCCTCTTCCAGTCCCATGTCCCGCAGCTCACACTCCGTCGCTTGCTGATTTCCCCGTGCATGTCTCCTTCCTTTTTCTCTCCCTCCATTCCAGTTTTGGCCGCCGGCCAGGCCATCCATTCAACACCACATGGCATCTCACGCTTACCGTGTCCAACTTCTTCCATGCCCAGACCTCTCCCCATCTTCCTGATCTCAGCCAAGGACACCACTGTCTGTGCATTTGGTCCAACTGAAAACTCCCCTCCTCCCCTCCCTACATGCCCATGCCTGTCCAATCCATTTGCGAATCTATAAATACTACTTTTTAAATAGATCCACAGCCGGTTCCCCTCCACTGCTATTTCTGTCCCGTCTTCTCCATCTGCAAGGGTCTCTTACAAATGTAAATTACATCTTTCCCTCCTTCGTCTAAAATACTCCTCTTCATTCCCATTTCACAAAGAATGAAATCGAATCCCCTTACACAGACTTCCAAGACCCTGCCGGCCCAGCGCTCCCTCCCTCACCGCCTCCTATTCTCTCCTCCTATTCGCTGTTTTCTTGAGGCACAGCTTTCTCTTCTTTCCTCCCTGGATGCTCTTCCTTCTGACTTTTATGTTGTTCACGTGGCTGCCTTTTCTTGTTTTTGATCATCAGTTAAAATGTCATTTTCTCCACAGGTCTTCCCCCAATAGCCACTGAAAAGTAGCCTCCATCTCTGGCGTGTCCCTTTATTACCTTTTTAAAAATATATATTTTATTGATTTTTACAGAGAGGAAGGGAGAGGGATAGAGAGTTAGAAACATCGATCAACTGCCTCCTGCACACCCGCTACTGGGGATGTGCCCACAACCAAGGTACATGCCCTTGACCGGAATCGAACCTGGGACCTTTCAGTCCGCAGGCCGACGCTCTATCCACTGAGCCAAACCGGTCAGGGATTTATTACCTTTTCTAATGTTCTGCAAAACACCTCCATGACCTTTCACTCTTGTGTGTTGTCTGTTTCCTTCGGGGATATGAATGTTGTGTCTCCTTCTGTCTTGTTCGCTTACCAGTGGTTCTCAACCTTCTGGCCCTTTAAATACAGTTCCTCATGTTGTGACCCAACCATAAAATTATTTTCGTTGCTACTTCATAACTGTAATGTTGCTACTGTTATGAATCGTAATGTAAATATCTGATATGCAGGAAGGTCTTAGGCGACCCCTGTGAAAGGGTCGTTCGACCGCCAAAGGGGTCTCGACCCACAGGTTGAGAACCGCTGGCTTAGACCCTGGTGTGTCAGTCACAGGCTCTCTCTGTAAAGGTGCACTTGGAGCCCTGACCGGTTTTGCTCAGCGGAGGGAGCGTCTGCCTGCGGACTGAAGGGTCCCAGGTTCGATTCCGGTCAAGGGCATGTACCTTGGTTGCGGGCACATCCCCAGTGGGGGGTGTGCAGGAGGCAGCTGATCGATGTTTCTCTCTCATTGATGTTTCCAGCTCTCTATCCTTTCCCTTCCTCTCTGTAAAAAATTCAATAAGATATATTAAAAAAAAAAAAAGGTGCACTTGGAACACAGAGTTCAGAGGTAGCTGCCCCACTGAGCTGCCCATGGGACACACTGACAATCAGAGGGTGTGGGCCCGAGACATAGGTTTAACCCCCTGTTGTTGTTCCTTGGAAAGTGGGTGCAGATAACCTGTGTTTGCTGTAAGTGAAGTGCAGGGTATTTGGAGCATGTTTTCACAATTAAGAACCCACTTCCGTTGTTAAATCCTTCCTCTGGTGGGAGCGTGGGTGGGTGATGGAAGGCCCTGGGGAAAGCACAGGGAACCCTAGGCATGTGGCCTAAGCTTTGCACAAGACATTTTTAAATCATGGAACTGCTGAAAAATAATAGTGCAAAAATGCATTTATTTTAATGCTTCCAGTACCTGGATCTTGGGTAGATTCCTGCTGGGGAACAGACTCCATGGAAGAAGCATGTGTTCCTCCTTGGTTCTCTTCCCAAAGCACATTTTTTGACCAACTTACGCCTGGCCTCTTCCTTCTGTGTCCACCAGAGGGCGAGAGGTGTCTTTGTGATAGCTCCTGACAAGGAGTGGGGAGCCCCAAGCCCATCTGGGCAGGAAGCCCCCTCACTGGGCTCTAGGGCCTCCACTCCCAAGATGGTCTGTTTATTGAGGGCTAACTACATAGATTAATTACATAGATTAACTCTTTAAATCCTCACAGCCAACCCCTGAGGTATTATCTTCCTTTTACAGATAAGGAAAATGGGGCACAGAGAGGTTAAGGAACTTGCTCAAGGTCACACAGTTGGTCAGTGGTAGAACCAAGATTCAGATTTGTCTCTACCTGAGTCTGTGCCCTTGACAACACTACATACCACCCTTTGGCATAATGGCTGATGCCGGGGTTCTTGTTCCAGCATCTAGAAGGGTTCAGCAATCTGGAGGTCTGTGTGTTACTTAATAAAGAGTCCAGAGACGAAGCATAATTTTGAAAGGCATTATAGGGAGTCAGAGGAGCCTAGCTAAAGAAACTAAGATCTCCTTGTCTCAGGACCCCTTGCTATTTATTAACACAAATTGTCCTAAGGCAAGGTGAAGATATACACTTCAAAGGGAAGGGTTTCAGACAGAAGCATTGTCAGATTGGGGGAATTTGCCTGTGGCTGTTCAGGTGTTTGGCCAGTAGGAGGCAATAACATGTAGATTAAGATGCCCTTAGCTGTCTGGCAGCAAGCAAACATCCCTTTTCAGGTTTAGGGAAATGCCTTTAGCCATTCCCAACAGGTGATAACATATGTGACTCAGCCCTTGTTGAGTCCCCAAGTTCCATCAACCTTTTGATGAAACTCTTGCAATTATGACATGCTGGATTGGCTTCTGGCAGGCTGACACCAAGTAACCACTTGATAAGTGGTTGTTTTTAAAAATTATCATGAACACAAATTTTCTTAATAACCTATGAGATAGAACTATTATTTCTATTGTTGTTATTTAATAATTTTATTATTATTTTAAGTGGCGGCACAGAGAGGTTTAAGTCACTTGCCCGAATCCCATAGTTAGACAATCACAGAGGTTTTAAACTAAGCCTGTCTGATTCTGGGACCTGTGCATTTATAAAGAGGACGTACTCTCAGTGCTGCCATATTATGCCAGCTGGGTTAGCAAATGCTCCTTCTTCACGAGAAGGTCCCAGTGGGCAAGGTTGGAGCTAGGCACCCTGAGGCCATGTGTCCTGATGCATGTCCTGTTTGGACAGCTCTCTGGCAGTGGGCAGCAAGAGCCACTGGCTGCTTAGTCGTCGTCCCAGGTCCCTCCCGAGCACTGGGCCTAAGGAGAGATTTTCCAAGAGAAGCAGCCGGTTCAGGCTGAGCTGAGGGGCCGAGGGCCATGGGTCATGGGGATGAAAGGACTGGAATATTTGAAACTGCATTGTTGACTCCGGTGTGGTCAGGCCCGGAGGTTTTTATAGAATCTATGGTTGTTGCCTGGGAGGCTTCTGTTTCTCCCACTTCCCCCACCCCGCCCAGGGGCTGCCCAGAACACTGACTCTGCCTCCGTTATGGACTTTCTCTGCCTGCCCAGTGACTCTCACGTGAAACCACATTTACACTGGAGTCATGCTCCAATCACGCTGGAGCCCTGTGTGATTTGGGATCCAGGCCAGTAGACCTTCCTCTTATGTGTCCATGACATTTACATCTGAGCCTGTGACACCACTTCAAGGGAGGCAAGGCAGGGACTACCACTCCCTTTTATAGATTAGGAAACTGAAGCTCGGGGAAGACTGATTTCTTGCCAAGGTCACATGGTTGGTGAAAGATATGGCTCCAGAAGGCAGGCTGTTCCCCTTGCAGAATGACTGCCCAGCTCTGAAACCCCAGCCCTCAGAGCTTCAAGCATGTCTGAGGAAGCCCTCCCCTTCCCCAGACTCCTGCCCTCACCCTGTGAGCCCTGTGGGGAGAAGTTCTTTTCTGAAAGATAGATAGATAGATGATAGATAGATGATAGATAGATAGATAGATAGATAGATAGATAGATAGATAGATGATAGATAGACACAGGCAAATGACTGATAGATAGAATATAGATAGGAAGATGGACGATAGATGATTGATAGGATACAGATAGAAGGATGATAGAGAAAATAGAAAGTGATAAATGATAGAAAGATAGATGGTAGATTGATAGGAATTGACATAGATAATAGATATAAGATAGATAGATAGATAGATGATAGATAGATAGATAGAGAGATAGAGAGATAGAGAGATAGATAGAAAGATGATAGGGAATCTCCCTTAAACCTTTCTGCTGGTGGTGAGTGTGAGTCGGTAAGGCCTCTATGGGGTGCATTTTTGGCAACAGATGTCCAAATTACAAAGGCACATACCCTCTGAGCCCGCAATTCCACTTCTAGGAATTTATCCTTTAAAAATAGCCTGAAAAAATGTGTAATTCTTTATCGTTGAAAGCATTACATATGTCCCCCTTCCCCCGCATTGTCCTCTCCCAGCCGCCCCCGCCCCCCTGCCCTAGCCTGAAATTTTAAATGTACAATGTAACTCACTGCAGTCAGTGTTGATTGGAAAAGCAAGAGACTGGAAATACCGTCACCATCCATCAGTAGGGGACTGGTTAAATAGACGGCGAACACCTAGACAATGTACCAGAAACATTTCTGATACAGTACGTTCTGAGACATCAAGTGAAAAAACCCAAGATGCGTAAGAGAGTGCAGCGCATGCTGCGTTTGCGGCAGTAAGGAGCGGTGCGTGTATGCATTTGTGTGTTAGACCATCTGGAAGGTGAGCGACCCCGAGTGCCGGCTGCCTCTGGGGAGGACGGGCAGCGGGGGCGTGAGGGTGGAGGTAGGCTTGCACGCTACACCCTTTCCTGCCTCTGGAATGCTAGAGCACGCGAGTGCTTTGACAATTAAAACATAAAGTGAACTAAGTGTCTCCGCCCGCCCTTCCCCACACACCTTGCAGGCAGGCTGCAGCGCCGCCAGGCTGCCGGGCGACGGACAGATGAGCACGGGAGACGTGCCCCTGCAGGAGCCCCCCTCGTACCCTCCCATTCGGGTCATCCGGGCCCGCGTGTCTTCCAGCAGCTCCTCCGAGGTCCCCTCCATCAACTCCGACCTTGAGGTACCCGCTGCTGCCTGCCTGCCGGTGCATGGGCGCCCTCCTCCGTGACCCTGCGGTGCCCCGGGTGCTGGCGCTGCAGCTTGCCAGTCCGCCCACGCTCGCCTCCGCCTGCTGAATAATGAATGAGTCCGCTGGCTGCTGCCCGCGAGTCCCCACTGCCAGCGCCGACAAGGGGTTTCCATGGTCACGTTCCCCAGCGAAACACTGCATGGTGCAGCGCGGCCTCGGAGAATCACTTGCACATGCAGTTACGAAAATAAATGCGTGAATAATATATAAACTTGGAAAGCGTTTCAGTGTTTCCCAAACCCATGTGACCATGGAAGCGTCCCTCCCCGCAAACCCCCCTTCCCCCAACACCGGCTGCCCCATGGTGCCCTCAGGGTCATACTTGGGATCGCATAAGCTTGGCATTTTCATAAACTTGACCTCATTTTGATTTGGGGATCTGTGAACAAAACATCCCATTTCGGATGCCACGGACGGGTGTAGCCCTCAGTTCTGGGCTGTCCTGTCCCTCAGGCCCACAGCTCCGGGCCTGTGTCTGGAAAATGAGAACAAGGACGGTGTAGTTGCCATGTGCTGTCAGCAGGGGGAGGACTGCCCTTCATTCTGGGTTTGTGTTCTGTTTTGGTGTTAAAATGCCCTTTTAGGAAATGATGATCAACTATGTGGTAGTCGGTGTTGAGTTTTTTGTTTAGGTTTTAATGGTCTTATTTGGTAAAATAACCCATTAGCCATCCTAAGTAGGCCCCTCAAATTTGTTGAACGCATAGTGGACCCTAAAATCCGAAAGACTCAGAGCCATCGGCCTGCGGACTCTCCCAGGACTCTTCCCACTTACCTGTGCTCTACCTGGGCCCTCCAGGAGTGCCCTATCTAATCGACAGGACAAAACATTGGGATTTGCAAGTAATTCCTATGATGGCAGCACCGGAGATGGGCTGAGACAGAGACAGATCAGGCTGGGGGTGGGGACGGGGGAGAGGGGGGCTCGCCTGCAGTGAGAACTTGAGTATTTTCACCTTTCCCCAGTGTCCACTGGCTGGGCTGGTCGAGGCATCAGACGAATGGCATTGGAGCCTCAGGCCATTTGCTTGGGGCTGTGTTTCCAGACATCTCCACAGGGGGTGGTACACTCCACGGAGACTGTGGATCCACTCCTTCATTTGCTCACTCACTCACTCACTCACTCACTCACTCACAAGGCAGCCCCGCTCCTGGCACAGCCATCCCGAGAGCGTGCTGAGCAGATGCCGAGAAAGGGTGACTGCACTCGCCCGTGGACGGCAGGTGGGAGCGGGGCCCAGAGGGAGGGGCTTGCAGGAGTGGCCACCGCACTTTCCAGCATAGCCCACACCTGTTTTATGAGAGCAGGGTTCGCTTTCTTCCGGCATTGAAATGGTTCCTCTGCCTTTAAAGGCTTCCTTTTCTTTTCTTTTTTTAGTCTCTGGGATGCAAGAAAAGATTAAGTCCAACGTTGTGACAAAAGTGCATTTAGTCCCTTTTTTCCTTCTCTGCTTCCTAGTAATGTCATAGACGCGCATGGGGAACTTTGTAGGAATTCTGCAAGGACGTTGTTTCTGTCATTGGAACAAAGTCTGCCTGTTGGAGAATGACTGCCTGGAGCTTTTGCAGCTGTGTGTGTGTGTGTGTGTGTGTGTGTGTGTGGTGTGTGTGTGTGTGTGTGTGTGGTGTGTGTGTGTGTGTGTGTGTGGTGTGTGTGTGGTGTGTGTGTGTGGTGTGTGTGTGTGGGGGGGGGTTGGGAAAGGGGGGGATGAAGCCACACACCTGATTGCTCTGTCTGAAAGGGGTCAAGTCCCAGGCCTGTGTGTCTTGCTATCTGTGCCTTAAGCTCTTGACAACCGGGACTGCTTGTTCCCTCTCCAAACTCTGCTTCCAGCACCAGGGCCAGGTCAGATTCCTTTGGACATTTGTCATTCTTTTTTAAATGTGTGTTTTTTTTAAAATTATTTTAGAGAGAGAGGAAGGGAGAAACAGAAAGAGAGAGAGACATTTCTGTGAGAGAGAACATAGATCGGTTGCCTCCTGCACATACCCCGACAGGGGATCAAACCCGCAACCCAGGCCTGTGCCGTAACCAGGAATTGAGCCAGTGACCTTTTGGTTACGAACCAACTGAGCCACACTGGCCAAGGCTGGGCATTGGTCATTCTTAAAGTCAAATCATTCCTTTAAATAAACACAAAAACAGATACACACACACGTACTATAAAAGTGCTCATGTTAGAGAAAACACATATAAGTAAGAAGAGGCCAGAACATTCCAACAGGTACCAAAAGCAAAAAGCGACGTTGAGGATGTGGTTTCTCCCCGGGAAGGTGGCATTGCCTGCCACGACGGAGTGAAAGTCAGTACATCCTGAAATGTGTGGGGCCACCAGCTGGCTCCCCTGGGGGTGAGGAAAGATGCTCCTCTGCCCCCCACCTACCCCCTCAAGGAAAGGACTGTGCCGGAGAAAGAGGAGTGATCAGGAGTTGTGGGTTCGGGGGGAGGGGGGGGTGGCTCTCGCTGCCCTTCCAGGCAGCCTTTCCCTGGACATCTTGAGTCTTCACTTCTCCCTCTGTACATGGGAACCGCGAGACCTTCCCTGCCTGTATTACAGAGTGACTGTGAGGGGCAAATGGGGGTGCTGGCGGGGCTTTGCAAGACTCCCAAAGGTGCTATATGTCGTGCAGTGGAAACTGGGCTGGAAGTGGGCTTTGCTACTCACTCCACCCCCTTTAGCCGTGGAATGGGCAGCACCCGCTCATTTAGCTGGACCTGTTCTGAGAGTGGAGACAATGAGTTCAGGGCGATGGTGAGGCTCCACTAGGTCCGAATGTAAAGGAGCTTTGACACAGGAGACCAGAGGCTCCATAAATGCTCATCGTGAAACCCCAGCTTTGGACTGGGTGATCTTTAAGGTCCCACTTAGCAACGTGGTCCTAAGTGTCAAAGTGTGTGGTTGAGAGAGGTGGGAGGAGGTTAGCTACACTGAGTCAATTCTTAGCTGTAGAAAGACTTCCATCAAGCAAACAAAAGCATCACCGACCTACCAAGCTTAATGTCCTTGCTGGTACAGCGGCTCAGGCTGCTGGGTGCTGCCTGGAATACCTCTGCTGCCTCAGTCTCCTTCCACTTGAACCAACGCAGGTGCCACCTCCATCTCTCCTTTCACTGCTGTCCTACTCGGGAGCTTCCCAACACTCAGCCCCACGGGCTCCCTGCTCTAAGGCTTCTGTGGCTCCTGACTACTTATGTTTAAGTCTGACCCTTCAGCCTGACGTCCAGGACACGTAGTCCTCTGGCCCTGGGCCAGCTCTCCGGGTTTTACTCTCACATCTGACCAGCTTTCTTTTCTCTGGGGTTCTTTGCTTATTTCAGTCCTCTCCTCCTGCCCTTCAAGGCACTGGCTAAATCCTGCCTCCTCCAGGAAGCCTTCCCTGCACTCCAGAGTAGGGTTGCTAGATTTAACTGGCAAAAAACACAGGACAGCCAATGAAATTTGAATCTTAGATGAACTGGCCTACACTAAAGCACTATTTGTTATCTGAAATTCAGATTTCACTGAGCATCCTGTGTTTCCTCTGACAATCCTGCTCCTGAATCAAACTTGATTGTTCGAATTTCTGGCCCCTCCCTAGACCTCTTCTCCAGTTCTTCTGAGCAGCATTTGAGCAGCAAACTTTCTTCCAAAAATTTAGGAACATACAATGTGATAGATCAACTATATCTTAATAAAACCAGGGAAAATTCGTTTTAAGAAATCAGGAACAGGGGCCAAGGTTGCCCAGGCCTTTCCCACGGGAGGTCCTGGGATTTGGCCTGACGCAGTCTTTGCATCTCCTCGTGACTGATGTTGGAGGTGCTGCTCCCAACCCCTGCTGCCCACCATTTTAATTCGCGTGGCTTCTCCGTCTTGGCCCTTTTGTTCTCACCTTCATACGTCCCTGAAGTGAAACTGTGCGTCATCCTTAGAAAGGAAACCACCCCGCGGTGGGTCAGAACTTCCCTCTCGCTGATCCATGTCACGATGGGCCTTTCGCACAGCACCTCACGGTGTGTGAGGCATTTTCTCATCTCACATCCCGTTTTCCCCACAGCAGCTGGGAAGGAAGAGCAGTGTGGGAAGTCTGTGCCAGAGGAGGAAAGAAAGTGTGGGGGTGAAACACGGTGCTCGATTCAGAGTGTCAAAGAACTCCTTAATTAACGAGCTGTAAATATTGTGCAGGTTTTTTAAAAATAGAAAGGATGAGATTTTGAGACATATGGTAGAATGTTTAAAAGTCTGTAAGGGCCCTGGCTGGTTTGTCTCAGTGGATAGAGCGTCGGCCTGTGGACTGAAGGGTCCCAGGTTCAATTCCAGTCAAGGGCACATGCCTAGGTTGCGGGCATGCAGGAGGCAGCCAATCAATGATTCTCTCTCATCATTGATGTTTCTATCTCTCCCTTCTCTGAAAGGCAATAAAAATATACATTTAAAAGTCTGTAAGGTACCAGATCAAAAGGAAATCTGCTTTAAAAGATTGAGAGAACTGTAACTGGTGCATCTCTGGCCAGTCTTAAAACTTTATAATCAGAAGAAACAAAAAACCTTTATAATCTATCCTGAGTGCAGCAACATCTCACCTCTCCCATGTTGGGAAGTCACTGCTCCCCAAAGGTAAGAGGCGGGAGTTGGTCTTGCTACACCTGACCAATCTAGCTCTCATCGTCTAAAATGTAAGCCTGGAAATTGATCATTTTCCAACGACTAAGACATACCTCAGTCTTCAGGAACAAAGGAAAAGTTGCCACATGTCCTGTGGACAGGGCTACAGCATGCCTCTTGGTTTCAGAAGCATGACAAAGAGTGTTTTTTAGAAATGAGGTGAATTGAAGTACTATATAAGCTGTGGTTCACAAACGTGATGGTCCTCTTTAAGGATTTGTGGAAATATTAATTACATTTTAAGGTAGAACAGCCATTTGCACAATTTGGAGTGTGTGTGTATATCTAAGGGCTATTAAACACCTTCATAGAGACTCTTAAAAATAGAACTATGAGTGATTTTTAGTTTGTTTTTTTTGAAAAAAATCTTATACAAAAATCAACATATTTTGCTCTTGAAACGTGGAAATGACTATAAAATGTTATTTATTTTTATTTTGGGGGCTCGGGGAGAGACCTCGGTTGCAAAGATTTGGGTTAATTGTACTCAGGCACATTATCATCGATTTAAATTTTAAAAGAAATCCTGCTACTATCTTCACTAGAGGGCGCTGTTCTTTAATTTTAGATTGCCTGTGATGCTGAAGATTTGGAGAGTTTAAAGGTTTCATTTCAACCCAGCTGGGGGGACTCTTAAGCTCCTTTATTTGTTTGCTCGGCTTTAAATAAACTTTTATTTTTGGAATAATTTTGCATTTACAGAAAAGTTGGAAAGGTAGTACAGAGAGTCCCTGTATATTTTGCCCAGTTTCCTCTAATGTTAACATCTTACAAAAACCATGCTACATTTACCAAAACTAAGAAATTGACATTAATACATTACTATTAACTATACTACAGATTTTATTTAGATTTCACTAGTCTTCATCAGTATTCTTATTCTGTTCTGGGATACAATCCAGCATATCACATTGCATTTAATAATTTTTTAAACAAACAAAACACACACTCACTACGGTAACCATAGATTATCATTTATATTTTGCATGAACTTCTGTATTTATTTGTAAAAGTTATTTAACTTTTTGAACCCCTATGTTGTCATCAACATTTCTGTTTTTTTGCAGTGTGTGTGTAACCATTATTTTAGTAATTTTGTGTCTTCTCCAATTAATTTTTTTTCCGTTTATATCCCCCTTCAGGCTGTCATTAAAATATGAATGCTATGGAATTATTACTAATTTTGTTAGGTATAATAATGACATTGTGCTTAGAATTTTTTAAAATGTCCTTATCAATGAGATACATATCGAAGTATTTATAGATGAAATTAGTTACTTTAAAATACTTCAGCCAATAAAAAAAATGAGGAGCTAGAGCAAATAAAACAGGATGTGTCCATAGGTGTTTATGGGGTTATTTTTTAGTGTAAGACTAAAAAGTCTTATAATTAAGAAGTTGTTTAAAATGGAAATGTAAAATAATTGAACAGTAGAAACTTGGTTTTAATGTGACAATAATGCCAAATCCTGTGAACTGCTCAGATGGGCAGCTGTTCCACTTAATGGACATTCATGGATCAATATAACTGACGTTTGTAGATTCATAGCTCTGTCAGAACACGTCTCCCAGGCACTGCATGCCGTGCCGGAGGACAAGAGCAGGCCGAGAAGCCGCCCTTCAACTGACTCAGACATATTTGAGGCTTGGGGTGGAACCAACCGTGCAGTAAAGGCTGATGAAAAATGAATCTTGGCTGGTAGCAAATATCCCTTATTTTCAAGGTGGGGATTTTATTTGCATCTCTCTTTCTTAGTTTTGTGGTTTTGAGTTGACTCATCTCCACCATGTGGTTAATAAATGGACGATTTATTATCATTATTACACCTGGTAATAATAACTTCTAATAATAGTAATTTAAAAATCTGTATGGGTTATAATTTTTCCAAGGACCTGCAGCCCTTCATAATTATCACAATTATCCTATTGATCATTTCACTCAATTGTAGCTGCTAGTAGCTGCTGCCTTCCTGCTTGCTGAAATCAGCTCTCCCTTTGCCCTCAGAGCATCAGAGGGTCTGCCTCCTGGCTCGCTGAGCAGTCGGGGCAGGTGCCAAGGTCTGCTTTGCTCTGTAATGGGGCGGAATCTATCAAAGACTTTTCTGTGTCTCTTTTTATTCTGCAGCACAAGTATTGGGAGGCCCTAAGCTTGAAGCAGGTATGGACAGTTGTGCTCTCTTTCTATTCCAGGAGGGACTTCCTGTGGCTTGATTCAGTTCCTGTTTTTGTTAGCCACCCCCCCCCCCCCCCCCCATGCTGCGACCCTTTAATACAGTTCCTCATGTTGTGGTGACCCCCAACCATAAAATTATTTTTGTTGCTACTTCATAACTGTAATTTTGCTACTGTTATGAATCGTAATGTAAATATCTGATATGCAGGATGTATTTTCATTGTTACAAATTGAACATAATTAAAGCATAGTGATTAATCACAAAAACAATATGTAATTATATATGTGTTTTCCGATGGTCTTAGGCAACCCCTGTGAAAGGGTCATTCGACCCCCAAAGGGGTCGAGACCCACAGGTTGAGAACCGCTGCTTTAGGGGGAAAAAAAAGAATGTGAAAATGACAGGCGAGTCTTATAGGATCAGGGGATTTTCTGAGTTCTCTCAGTTCAGAGTTCTTTCTGCTTTGTCCAAACTATCTAGTAGGGACTCAGAGAAGATGTGTAACCTGAAAAAGAAACGTGGTTTGGAAAAGAGGTGTATGAACAAGCAGAATAACTGCAGGTTGCTAATGGTAGTGATGCTGGGAGTGGCTGCAGTAGTTGAGATAAACATTGTCATCCGGAGACCTTGATCAGCTGGCTGCTGTCTCCATGCCACCTTGCCTCCAAGGGATGAAGGAGCATGTTTTTTTGACAACTACCTGTGCCTGTTGTCTCCCAGGATTGTTTCTGATAAGAGAGTGGGCCATCTTTTGCTCAAATTCTCTTTATGCCTGGATTCCAGCAATGTTTTTATTCCTTAAAATGAAGTTTTAAAACACATTATTCTGGGGAATCAGAAGAAAGAGATTTAAAATGCTTTTGACAGCCTAACCCACTTCAAAGAGTTCACTTGATCAAAGTGGCAGGCTGTCTCTGTTTGCCGGAAGCTGGATTGGTCAGGTGTAGCAAGAATTGGAGCAGTGGTTCTGAAACATCAGGGCCAAACCTTAGCTCTCAAGCCAGAGAGAGGGTATAGGTGGGCTACCAGCGTCAGCCTTTATACTGAGCACCCTGGGCCCTTCGGGTGAGTACACTCAGAACTGTCTTCTAGAACGTGAGCCTCAGCTGGAAAACAGAATTCATCAAAAGGCACACTGTCCATCCTCGGAAAACAGGCTCTGACTTCCACCAAGGGGCAACTGGACCCCAGAGGCTGAGGGGCTGGGAAGCTCTTTTATGTGGGATCTTTGATAAAGTCAGAGAGGAATTTGCTTAGACATGTCCCCTCGAATCTGCAGCCACAAGTGAATGAAAAGTAAGCACTGGGAGTGGCTGGCACAGCCCCAAACAGGTACAAGGGGCTGATCTGTACCAACCAACTCAGCTTAGTCCCTGGCCTGCACGGTTAGTGGGGATGAGGTGGTCTTTTTTAACATGATGCTGTTTTTAATCATCAAGTGGTAGAAGTCATAAGTCACTCATTGAATCAGGCTCTTTTTTCTTTCTTTCTAAAACAAAGCCATAATTTGTGTTTTATACCTGGCATAGTGTGGACACCATCTGGCTCAGGGAACCTTGAAAACCTTATCCCAGACTTCCAGGAACTAGACTGATTGATTCAACTCAAATTTGGTTGTCTGGTGGAGCATTTTACTTGGAGTGCATGTCCATGCCTGACTGTATTTTCTTGCCCAAATAGATAATCTGGCGCGGGCTGATACAGCCTACTTGGCCTTCGCTTGTTATTTTCTGGGTGTTTTGATGATGATATCAAATATGACCTATGACTCAGAATCATCAGTCATAGAAACTCAGAAAGAAAAGAGATCATATTACCTAGTTACTGATCCAATATCCCAACTCACATATGGAGAAACCAAGGCCTGGAGAAGAGAAAGCAAGTGAGTGGCAAAAGGAAGACTTGGGCCCAGCCCCCAACTTGCCTTCATGGCTGCAAACACTAAGGGTTCCCTTCTCTTGGTCCACATGCAAAGTTCCCTCTCTCATCCTTCATATCAGAGCAATAGGAAGACAGCAAATAGCTTCACCAGTTCTGTGTGCCCACCTCTTTTTTAACCTTCCCTACCCCTGCAAATTGCAATTTTCCATAATGGCCTGACAGCAATGAAATATTCACGGGCTTCTGACTATGAATTAGGTTTTAAGTGTTTGTTTTTGACAAGTCTACTGATCTCAAGTTTAGAGGAAATACCATGGATGGTAAGGACAGCCAGTGCCCTGCCCTTAAGGAACTCATCATCTACCTGAGAGGACAAGGGAGATGCCCAGAGAGAGGGCAGGGCTGTCCATGCTCAGCTGCAAATGAGTGGCACAGGCAGTACTAACAGAGAAGGGGTGAGAGCTCAATGGGCATAAGCAGTTGGGGTAGGCTTCCTGGAATAGGAGGTACTCATCTGGACCATAAAGAATGGGTTGTGTTTGCTTGGTCTTGTCCAGGAATGAATTAGGCGTGGAGATGGGCATTCTTAGGATAAAGAGAATATGACTCAGCCCTAACCAGTTTGGCTCAGTACATAGCATCAGACCTCAGACTGAAGGGTCCTGGGTTCAATTCCAGTCAAGGGCACATACCTCAGTTGTAGGCTCAATCCTCAGTCCAGGTCGGGGCAAGTTCCGGACAACCAATCAATATGTCTCCCTCACATCAAGGTTTCTCTCTTTCTGTCTTTCCCCCTACCTTCCACTCTCTCAATGGAAAAATACTCTTGGGTGAGGATTAACAACAAGAAAAAAAGAGAATATTACTCAGTCTCATTAGAGAAGGACTTGGTGACAACAGGGAAAAAGAGGGTGGGGCTGGTCTGTTCAGGGTGGCTGTCCATTAATTCCTTTATTTAAAACTAGAGGCCCGGTGCACAGGATTCGTGCACTGGTGGTTTAATTCCTTTATTTAAAACTAGAGGCCCGGTGTGGTCGAAACGGCCCCGGTGAGGTCGAATTGGGCCTGGTGAGGCTGAAACGGCCCCGGTGAGGTTGAGACGGCCCCGGTGAGGTTGCAATGGCCCCGGCGAGGTTGCAACGGCCCTGGTGAGGTTGAAACGGCCCCAGTGAGGTTGAGACGGCTCCTGTGAGGTCGAGACGGCCCCTGTGAGGTCGAAACGGCCCCTGTGAGGTTGAGGCGGCCCCTGTGAGGCTGAAATGGCCCCCGTGAGGCTGGGACAGCCCCTGTGAGGCTGAGATGGCCTCTGTGAGACTGAGACGGCCCCTGGGAAGCTGAGAAAAATACCACATGAACTCACTCATTTATGGATAATAAGA